TAGCGAGGACTCACGACCGATTAGAAGTGCCAGCCACCCCTCGACACTTTTTCCTCCGGCACTCGAACCTCTTCGACCGGCAGCGGGAGGGGGCGGAAGCCAGCGAACCGAATACACACGCTCGCAAGGGGAGCCGACTAACACGCGGACACTGGCTGCCTCGATATACACGGAGCGACAACGAACGCTTTTGAACGGCAATCGGGACTCTTTTCAGCCCGCCTTCTGCTTTGCATTCGGCACCCTTCCGCGGCACCAGCCTCGCCACCGCACGGCCAACCCCCATGAATCACGAGGCCCTTCCGACCTACAGGCTCGTGCCCTATCACGGGACAGATCCGGTCGCCTCTTCAGGACAGCCAGCGACGGTATTTTCGAGCTGCAACTCCCCCCTTGACCACTCTCTTTTTCCGCTCGACGAATCGACGAATTTCTGCGAGCGAGACCACCCCACTGCGCCCTCTCGACGTGTCACAGGGGTGGACAGTTATGGGGCAGTCGTTGGTTATATTGGGATTTTTCATTCCTTTGCTTCCTTTCGGACGGCAGGCTTTTTTCATGGCCTTTAACCCTTTGTTCTGTGATTTCTTTCGTAAGGGTGCTCCACGGGATTACTTCGTCGATTTATTGGAAAGGGGAAGGATTTGATAGTTCGTGGGATTGCTATGGAGGTTGTAGATGGGATAGGAATATTTGATTTGTGTTGAGTACGTTTGGAATTTTTGTTGTGAGTCTGCTCTCATATAAGCGAAGGGATGATTGATATTCAGATATTGCAAAATTGAAGTATGCTTCGACAGACTGGAAAAAAATTTGTAGTTAATAAATCCTTTATCAACCTGCTGAATATAATCATCCGTGAAAAATGCTTATTGCATATTCTGCCTAATTTCTTTATAAATCGAGAATCCACAAGAGATATCGTTGCTGGGAATAATACTAGTACAAGCGCACTACAGGTGTACGCGAAGCGTTACATCGATTTGCGAGTAATTAGAGGTACGGTTTCAAAAGCGGCAACGATAGGTCATTGCGACAAGCGTTCCTGAGAGGATCGCGGGCACCGTTTCTGGTAAACAGCTTAATAATACCAGCGACAGCTCACAAAAGCGAGCGAATAAAAATAGCGTGTATCAAAACGGTCGCGGGGATGACAGTGCAAATAGCCGGCAAGCGAGGCGTATCGGTAATCGAGCATCCTCTTCGCTTTCATAACGAGTCCTTTACAACCGGCGCGTCCCGATATCCCGAGGGAAAACAGTCGAAGGGAATATCTGCGCGATCACCGCCGCGAGAGAGAATCCCGAGCGTCGAGGCGTTTATGCAAACCGACGACGATTGCGACGACGAAAGCATGAATTATCCGAGCACGAGGCTCCCCTTTAGCCACGGCTTATTGCCACGACGACGATCACGCCGATAAGTGCGCCCCGATCCGGCAAATAAAACGAAACGAGTAACAGACGGCCCGTGGAAATCGCCGCAGCCGTGGGAGGGGAAGGAGAGAGCAGCCCGGAGGAAATGCGATATTTATGAACGGAAACCTCGGCTGTTCGCGACAGCCATTGAATCTTGCTCGCTGCGCCTTGTGTCGATACGGGCAGCTCAATGGACGCGAGAACTAGAACAGTGTAGCCCAATTTAATTTATCGCGGCTTGATTGCCGCAAAAAGTCGAGACACCGGGGAACGGGGACTCTTAGTCTCGCAGCGTTGTTTGCGTACGCTGCAGCCGCGCAGGCGAGACCGTGCGTTTTTTGCGTAATTTATGGTAACAGGCACTGGATAAAAAGGTTCATCTTTTGTGAAGTTGGGCGGAGGGCTTAAAAAACAGTGCTAAATATCTGATAATGTTATATAGACCAGTTATCGAGTAACAGAAGGGGAAATTTCCTAGTTTTACGTATTCGAGAGATTATGCTGTTCGAATCATTCTAAATAGAATGATTTTAAATAGAACGATTATCAATGAAAATGCTGTAAGAGACGACTCTTTATAGCGCGGCGTACTCTTCTGTCGGAAAGTAGAACGCACCTGATTCTTAGAATTGTCGACTCTTTTCAGAAATGAGCGCAAGGGTGTTTAACCCTTTGCGGGCGGAGATTCTTTAAAGTATACAAAACCTTCAGCAGATGAAACCAAATTTATATCGGTTGCTTAAATAATAGAGAGAAAGGACACTACTATGTACTGGAGGAAACTATGTACTAATCCCTTGCTGTTTGAAGTACTAAATTATATATTTACAACTCAGTGTTTCAAATATGAAAGTTTGATCTCGACGAAATGTCGACATTCGTCTATAAAGGGTTAAAAGGGGAAGCGCTCCTCGATCGCATTCGAAGTCGGTTAGTCGCGTCTGACACCAACACGGTCATTGTCTTTACCCCTTTGCATTCCGTAGGCGCCTCTTAGTCGCCAATTGATTCGACACAGCAAAATTATAAAGTTTTATATCTAATATTAAACTTTGTGCAATGTATCAATATATGAAATATTAAAAGCAAATAGTTTTGTTCCTCAATTCATATGCGATTTCTCGTCAAGATGGTTGGAAAAAATGTCGGTATGTCATTAGAGAATATTGAGTATTTCCAGTGAAAAACTTCTGGAATGCAGAGAGTTAATAAACTAAATAACTCCGACCTTTTCTTACAATCCTGCGTTTTATATGCAACCCGAATATATCTAAAAATTCTCTTCTTTAACATATTTATTCTCTAACGTGAAGTATTATAGTATTATATTATAAAAATCAAATTACATGAATGTGCAAGTTTCACAACCGATTTTACCGGAATTCCGACGTCTAATGATTTCAGGGAAGGAAATGGCGGACGAGGACATCCCGTACGCAGGAGCGGACACGCAGGATCCGCTACGTGAAAGGAAAATCGCGATCGATCCCGAGGATCGACATGCTCGCAGTCTCCGGTGAAATACCTTCGACACTTCGGACAAGCTGCGCGAGTCAAGGACCAAGGTGACGCGAAATTTCCTCCATGGAAATCAACTTTACTGTGGCAGGTGCAGGGGACCGTGTTCGTCCTCTCTTTGTACTGCGCTGCCACCGCCGCCGCCGCCGCCGCCGCTACCGGAAACTCTCGATCGAGCATTTGTCAAGAACGACCGTGTGAACACGAACGATAGAAAACAATTGTCGAGACGTCGATTTCTCGCGGAAGAATAAAAGGCCGCGTCGAGTTTTATGTATTCTCCCCGAGAGATCTTTCGCCCGGGGTTTAATCGACGCATTGTTATGGCCGTTGCTCGCGGCGAAGACTTTTATCGTTTATAAGTTACGTCCGCGTTACTGCGACCGTAACAGCGGCACGGGCAATTTCGAGCGGATCTTGTGACTTTCCGCGGAATTCGAATTTAATTGGATAACGGGCTTGTTGATTGAAGTTGTCAGAATAAAGGCATTGTTTTAGCGGTAAACGGCGCTCAGTGGGATTAGCAGCGTGCTGATTCTTCTTGGTTTCCGTGGTGTGCATTGGAAAATGAATTAGGAAGTGGAGTGTACTCGTAGAATTTTAAGCGGAGAACCACGATTTATGCATTTCTGCGCGTAGACTTGATTATCAGATGTTCGATCCTTCATTCGTTCGCTACCAGCTGTTACATATGCGTGACACGTCGGTTTGTTATCATCGTTACGTATATGTAACAGAGGTTTTGAATCAATATATGGAGACACGTTGAAACGCGTTGTGTTTTGAACGGGATTGTTAAGTTCTAACACGGTGGAATATGTGAAGAGTGTGCTTCGTCTGCGATAATATTTACAGTGAGGTTCGAAAGTTCACGACCAGATCGTTTTTGGATCCAGATCGTTTCTTATATGATAAAGGATTTAATAACTTATTGTTATTATGACATATAAGTGTATTCTTTATACGTATTTTTTTAGAAATAAATGTTTTCGGTCAGAATGCTTAAAAAACAAATAATGCTGGTTTTCTATTATAATAGTAATTTAATGCATCGTATTTACATATTGCACTTGCTAATTTGGCCGGGAACTTTTGAACTATATTTTAATTTTTTAGAATGTTCTAAATATATATACGTAAAGTATATATATTTCCAATTGATGTCATATAATCCTAGAAAGAATCCTGGTCTATGATGGACGTTTCCTAGGCGACTTTGGTAACGAACGAGTAAAATAAATGATCTTTTTATTAAAGATTAAATTAAGATAATGAGACACAGTAGAATTTTAGAGAGTTAAATTGAACGTTAGCCTAATTGTCAAAGTGCGGTTACAGAGGAATTTGCCCGTTCCGAAAGAAGGTTGGTCCTATTAATTAGCAATTATCAGCGGTACAGCTGCACGCAGCATCGCAATTAATTGGTTTTATTGGTTTACCGACATGGTTACGTAATCGATTCCATGGCCTCGCCAATTTAACCAATTCCACTGTTAATTAATATCAACGCTTGTAACGAAACGTTGCTTACGTTGGTCCAACGTTTAGAGTATAAATTGCTTTCCGCTAATTGATATTTACGCGGTTATGTGCAGTAGTTACTTTCGTTCTCTGCGGCACTAATCGATTAGCAACATCGAGTAACCGCTGTTTCGATGATCAGAGTTTGCTCGGGAAGCCACGGAAAATATATGTTCCGTTGCAACCCACAGAAGAATCTCGAAATGCAGGTAGTAAGAGATGTCTGTGGAAGAAAGACGAACAGACCTGAATCCTTGAATTCTGTTATCAATCTGTGGATCTCGGAATGATACTATAACGCATTCGATTCCGGTAAAGTCTCCATAATTCATTGATCAGAGGAACAGTCCGCTGGTTATGCAAGGCAATTGGTCCCCGATTTGTAACTTACCCCTTTCTCATCCTCGAGAGTTTCGATCGTTATGAATTTAGCGATGTACTCCGTGTGCATCGGTATAAAAATTAATTTCCTCTGTACGTAGCACAAGCTGACACTACTATTGCTTCTACTATATAATCTTCATTACGTAATGCACTCTACAGTAAAGGTAATACTAACCATATTCTAAGTATCGACTAATTATCCACTAAGTAAGAAGCGAAATGAATTTATTTTGACATTACCATTTCATTCATGCAAAATAATTATTATCATTAGAGTCTCCATTGTTAACAACTAAACCGTTTTCCCATCACGTTCACCAAGAAACTAATCTTCTGCACTCGAAGGAGTTCTCGCAAGTACTGCCAAAATTTGACGTACTCGAAGTGTTCCTCAAGCACAACAACAACAAACACTGAAAATCGAACTATTTGAACATACAGTAAAACTTTAGTCACATGCGATTCCATGTGTTATCGATTGCAGAAGGCGTAAAAACGAAGCGTAAGGTAAAAACTAGTATATTAACATATTTAAGAACACAAGGAAAGAACCTCGACGTCTCGAGCGTCATGTTAAGCGACATGAAGTGACACTAAAAGACAAAAGTGTAACACGTTGCGATCCAACGTCAGAACCATTCGCCTTCGAGAAACGTCGTTAATAGTCATCGAACAATCGACGATCACTTCCCTCCGACGCTCGTGCTACTTGACACGCGAAAAAGGTACCGATCTACCACGATTTCAATATTCAATCATTGATTCAAACAATAAAATAAAAGAATTTATTCACCACAGCGAATTTATTCCCAGAACACTCTACAACACAAGTATTACGCATATTCCACAACCCTTTAGCTATCCGTACATATTCACAAATGCGACTGCCTGAACGCAAAACGAAAGAAAAAGCAAAGTTGTACAAATGTTGATACATTCGTTTCTTACCTACATGTGATGATTTATGTACATAAGACATAAACATAAACACTCTACTTGTTTCATCGACGCAATCTCGGTAAAATAAATAAAAGCCAATTCCCGGCATAATTCATCAAATCGCTTATTGTGGACAGCCGTAGTTAAAGGGTTAATCGAATGAATACTTTCCACGAGAACCCTTATATCTCCATTTTACCCTCAAAGTCTACTCCCCATCGATACACGTTCCATAATTACATCCATTCCACCCTGCGTACAAAACAAGAAAGAAATTATAATTCGCATCGGTATCGCCGACGACCCAGTTCCCGAAATTCCAATTTCCCGCGGCGCGAGGGTAAACGTATAATTAATAGTCGTCCTCCGAAACGGGGCGGAGAGGACGGCTGGATGCGTCTCCCGCGGAAAGGGATCGCAATTCGAGGCGGACGGAGCGGCGCCGCGGCAGCTGGTCGCCGGACGAAAACTTTCCAATTTCGGCAGATTTTACGCCGGCCTGTCTATCTATTTACTTTTCCATGTGCCAGCTGGTGCGCCAGGTATAACAGGGTTTACGTACCGTTTCCTCGTCTCCGCTATCGTAACGATGGGGCGAGTGCGCGAAATTAGGACGCGTGGGAGTGTATCGGGAACGGTAGACGGCGCTGGGATCGTCCGCGGCGAAACGTTCGAAACTAACCCCTGATTTCCGTAAGCGGATTTTCTGTCACGCTTGTCTGACCACGCGCCGCGCGGGTTGCGTAATTTTCGGGGGTGCACGCGCGGAAAGGACCGCCGCCGGATAGACTGCGACCGGCGGGGATATTCGTTAGCGGGGACTAGCCGGCTATAAAGTGCGGTATTAAACGCGCCGGGTATCAGGTGATCCTAACGGGCCGAGCGATTTATTCGCCGATCGAACCCCCGTCCTGTTGAATTAGTGCCCTGTAAACCGGGGCCCGGGCTAACGTTAACCGCGTTTAATTATTATTTTCAACCGGGATTTTACGAGCGGATATATTAAATAGGTGTCCCGTGACGGACGCGACGCGCGCGCCGTTGGACAACGCCGCCGCCCCAACGGGCGCACACCGTTAAACCGGGGATCGAAGTATTTACTGCTCTGCAGAAATTTCCTCGCCGCGTTTCGCGTTACGTCTCTGAGCGTTTTCGGTTACAGCGCTCGCCGATGGAATCGCGTGAATGGAAGTCGACTGTGAATGAGTACCTGTTGACGGTCGTTGGAATAAGTTTGGAAGAGTGGTGTAGAAGTTTGTATAGGAACTCCAAGAGTGCGGCTGTTGAAGTTTAACTGAATTATAAATCAGTTTGCCTGTGAATGAATCAGTTTCTTTAGTAATTTGTTGAAGTGGATGTTATTTTGGTAGTAATTGGGGTAGAAGAATTTAGGCGTGGGTTAAGTTGACTTTTTTGATAGTTCCGGGGTTGATTATTGGATGTTGAGATAGGTTTGTAGGGTGTAGGTGGGAGGAGATGTTTGTTGTTTGAGAGTTGAAGATTGTTCGAGATTGGAAGATATGTAACACGGGCTTGGCAGTTTGTAGATAGAAAACGTTTGGAATAGAATAATAGGAGAGACAATGATTGCGGAAGAATTCGTAAAATACAAAATTATCAAGTTTTCAATCGTATGACTTAGAAGACATCATATAAACTGAGTAAAATCAATATCTTTGTAAAGAAAAATAAAAAATAACGTAAAGATCAATCGATATAGAATGTCCATCGAATCACGGGATCGTTTAGGGAAGTCAATGCCCAGGGTATCACCGAGGAAAATCAAGCACAGGAAATCGATAAAAATGCTGCACCCTAGAGACCGCCGAAACACGAAAAATAACCACAAAGTTATACACACGAGTATAACCGACGCAGAATCTTCATCGAATTACACGATCGTTCGGGGAAATCAATATCCGGGCGCATCACCGAAAAACAAAATGGAATCGAGCGTTTTACACGTAAATGGCCGACAACGCCGCTCCCAGGGGGCCGATTAAAGAACACTGAAGCGAAAGGGACCGTGAGAGGGAGGTGGGTCGGAGTGACGAGAGGAAAAAACCCAGTAAACGCGAAAAAGGAGCATCGGGAAACGTCATAATTGGACGGCAGGCGAAGAGGGCCGAAGCCGTGCGCGTCGCGTTGGCGCTTGGGAAATCAG